AGGACACACACTTTACTTCAAATGTTATGAAAATATTTTCTCCATATCCAGTAACTGTGCTTTTCTGTTTGCGTATCACCATTGTTTCCTTGATTGGTATTTTTTCTGTGTATTTATTTGTACAGTATGCATTAGCGTTGATTCCTGCAGCCAAGTGCTGCTGACGGTCTCTTTTCCCTTTCTGCGATATGAGAGCTGTCTAATTTTCTGCACTCAAATTCCTTCGCTTGGCTCAATTTGAGATGTGGGCTCGGCTCGTTGAGAAATGTAAATTGGAAGCAATGGGCCTGGATGCTGAGCTGCTATTATCTGACATGAACAGATAGCTTCATTAGACTCTAATAGTGATGTGTATTCTGCCACTCAACTGCCTGAGTGCTGTTACATGGCTGTGACTGGCTAGCTTTGCAAACTCAGAAGTAGAAAATAAAAGCCTGTGTGCCTTTCCTTTTTGGACTCCTTTTTTGGCCACATCTGCTAATATTTATAAAGAAAATGCAGACTTCCATCTTAGTGGGAGTGAGCTTTTTCTTCCACAGAAAGTTTGTTTTTAGAGCGGCAAAAGTACTTTGTTTTATAAATGTGATCATGATCAAACCCAAACGGTATTGTTTTACAGTCGGACCGTGCGAAAGCTGCTTTCCACAACAGCTCTTAATCTTTCTAGCTAAAATATTTCGCCCACTGAATTTTTTTTTTCTTCAACTTGTTCAATTTATGTGTTGTTATATTCTAAAAACTGCTATTTGAGTTTTTGTGTTTTTTTCATTTACCGGTAGTATTGTTTGCAATTTTGTAAGATCTTACAACATTTTGCCATGTTTTTTTTTTTTTACATTTCACATTCTAATGGTTAAGTTTAGTTTAGTTTATTTAGGATCCCCATTAGCTGTAGCAAGCTACAGCTATTCTTCCTGGGGTCCAACAACAAAACATGAAATAAAAAATTACAAATGAAATAAAATTAGGTGGAAATTAAAACAACATCTCCCATAATCTATACATATACATATATACATACACACATATACACATACATATATACATATTCATATATACCCATATACATAAACAGAAACAATCCAAAGTAATCAAAACAAACTGCAAAGCACAGCAAGTGAAGAAGACTGTGTACTCCCTCACAGTCCTAATCGTGTTTTACCTCTATAGTTAATAAATGTTCTTTCAATGATTTTTTAAATTTCCTTAAATCAGTTATCAGTTTAATGTAATTTGGCAGTAAATTCCATGCTTTCATACCTCTATACATAACAGTTCTTTTTAAGGCATTTGACTTTACTTTAGGCAAACTAAAGTTTCCTTCAGTTGCATGCCTAGTCATGTATTGGTGATTCTCCGAACTAAAAGTAAGGTTTGTAAATAACATATAAGGTGTTTTTAATACAGATACATTTCTAAACATAACAGTCAATGAGTATGAAAGTCTGTCTTTAACCAACAACCAGTTTAACTTTTTATGCATTGTTATGATATTTGTCCTTAAATCAAACTTCAATATTATTCGGGCAGCTCTATTTTGGTATTGATAATAAAAAATTTTACTTGAAGCAACCATGATCCTGCAGGAACCAATTAATGCTTCACTGTTAGTATGTCGTTTTTGGGGTTAATTCAACAGTGAAGACTACTTTACTTCTATAAATATTCTTTAAAACACAGTTTAAGGTTTATGAAACATTTTTTTTGGGTGTAATTTTTATAACCACAAAAATTTATTTCTTGGCATTACATCCACATTAGATTGTTGTTTGCTTCCCCAAGGTAACATTAAAAACCAAAACAACCAATGGATTTTTATGGCATTGTGGTCTGCCTTGCCTGAAAAAAATAATGTTTGTGCTTAAATGCGTGGTGCAGCTCTATGAAAAGGACCAGGAGGATCCAAGGAGTATTCAAGCCTCATATTTTCACAACTTATGGGGTCACAGCTGCAGGGCCTGGCTGTGCTGCTGCTTCTCCCTGCTGTGGGTGTGTGCAAGTTGCTAGGGTACATTAGGTATGAACGTATTCTTGTTTGTGCACGTTTAGATGTGAATCACTTTTTTCTCAGCAGGAAATAAAAAATAAGGATGACTCAGTTAGTTTGGAACATTGTAACTTTCCAGGCTTTTTTAAAATTTGTTTTCATGTTTTATTTTATGAGATCTTTTAAAACTTTGTGTAAAAACGAACAGTTATAAAAGTATTTTGTTAGCTTGATTTACAAGAATAAAGCACAATTGCCATTTTCAAAGAGAGTAAGTTTAGTTTAGATGAAAGTAATGCCTTGTGATGACAGTTGCATGTTGATATAAGGTTATCATCTCTGCTACTAAATAAATCCGGACAGATTTCCAGAATTAACAATTCTACAACTGGCTTTACAGTTTTGATGCGTGTAATTAGGGTGCTTATTAGGATCTTGAGTTTGTTTTCCTAATAAGAAAGTTTTCCTGTTGAAGTCAGGTTTAAAAGAAACAAATGAGCTGTCTCAATATATCCTGCATGATCCATACTAACAACTCAATTCAATAGCAGCTATTCACTCTGAAACCATGTGTATAAAGCAACAACAGCAAATGCTACAATTCATTTCAGAACTCCAGCAATAGACTGGATTGTCAGAGTCAGTTTGGTCAACATTTCCATAACCAGGAATGACATTTTCCTTTAGTGCTATTTACCTGCAATTCTGGTCATATCATTCCTATCAGCAGAGTTTCAAAATAGTAAACCGTTCCTATATGCTTTACTGGTAAAGCTACAACTGCAGCTCAGTGCAGAGAACAGTTTTCCAGAGTTTAGCTTGCATCCTGGTGCTGCTGAGCTCCTTGTCTTATTTGTCTCGCCGTATTTTCTCTGTCAGGCATGGATTTACTCTATCTGCTGTTGGATGCCTGTTTGAAAAAATAGTTGACACGCACATACTCACAAGGCTTATTTCCATTTAGTATAACTGTATTTTTATATTTTGGTCAGAGTATGGCCAATTGAATTTCGGACCCCTTTTTAAAGTGATGATTGCATTTAAATTTTGATTTGAAGCAGTTGTGCTTTACCTGGTTACAGGTCAGTTGCCATGAGTAACTGTGCAGCAAGGTCTCTGGGCTTGGATAAGTCAATAGCAGGACTCTTTGAATCTTCTGGCTTTTTTAAAACATTGACAATATTTCTGGTTTAGTGGCTTCAAAATACCTGCATGAAAAGATATCACGCTTTCTTTTTCCTTATGCCATAGGTGGGGTGTTTTTGTAGTTGGCCAGGCAGTATAAATGTCTTTCACACTTAAGACACTTATTTAGATAATACGCTTTCTACGCAGAATTTGCCTCAAACGGAATAAGGAAGATAAATTCAGTTCCGTGACTACATCAGAAATTGTTACCAGCTTCTAAACACATATCCAATGAATTTGAACTCCATCAATACTGAAAAACATCTGAATATTTTGGGTTGATTTGACTAAGTGTAATACTCTGAGAAAAGAGGCTATCAGTTAACACCAACCTTTTAAGATTTATCATCTAAAGGGAAGCCTACATGTATGTAACACTGAAGGTCATAAACCTAGAACCTAAGTGTTGTAAAATAAATTTAACCAGTCTTTAACATGTAGCATACTTTTAGTAATCCAGCACAGGTTTCTAAAACATCTTGAAGGGTTGACCATTTTGGGGCTTATCTTATCCGTGGATACAGGGCATGCTCCTTCAGTTTATGTGAAATGTTCCAATTGAATTAGAAGTGTCATATGCAGCGAGAAACTGTAACATGCCCAAAAAAAGTTAATCTTAAAATACCCTGCAAAAGTGAAACAACAAAACCATAAAGCTGAATGTATGCTATTGGGATTTAATCAGACAAACCAGTTTTTGCTTCGGGGTTGTTCTGTAGCTCCTTAATGTCATTTTATCAACTCTGACCAGCGTCCAAATCCTTGTCAAAGAAAAGCATTCCCAAAGCAAAATGCTGCTGACACCACAATTTTTCCCAAATGGAACGTTGTGTCCAGGATGATGTGTAATGTTAAAGCATTATGAATTTTGGCCCAAAATATAAATTTGGTCCCATGCTATTTTCCCATTCTCAGATGTTTGACTGGATGTCTGGATTTGATCCAACCTAGGGACTAGGGAACTATCTAAAACCTGAATACCAGTGTCCTGCAGGTTTTAGACGTTTTGCTGCTTATGCACAGCTGATTTTCATTGATGTGTGGTTAGCAAATGTTTGACAGACTGCAATTATATGAATTGGGTGTGTTAAAGCACAGACGCATCTAAAATTTGAAGGACACTACCCTTGAAGCACGACTTTTGACACCCTTTACCTACGCATTTACCAATGAATAAAAGCATTTTTAATGCTTTTACTCATTGGTAAATGCACCACCATGTTTTCTTGTAATTGATGTGTTGAGAGTAATGTGCATTGTTAGTTTTCTGCTAGACATTGCTTTTAGTTGTGGGACCGAGATGCATTCATCTGACCAGAGAAACATTATGTTGAATGTGGTTAGTGCCAAAATGCAAATTACCTTTCCTTTTTTTGTTTTGTTTCAACAATGACTGTCTCATGTCAATGTTACAATTGGATTTAAATTTACAAGTTTAATACAAAAACAGTTTTACTTCCACTTCACATTTATTATTTACTTTACATATTTGTCAATCACATAAGATTCCAACAAAACACATAGTTTGTTGTTTTAAGAGGTAAAACATTAAAAATATCTGTGGCAAACAGTTAGGAACCTAATAATGAATAAACATTAAAAACACAGACAAAGTCTCTTTATTTTTATCGCTGCCTTCTCAACGTTTGCAATAGAACCATGGAGTGCCATCGCATAAGTCAGGCTGTGTGGCAGCTGAGTAAATAATCAGTCATTGAGGTTGAAGAGATTTCTCCTATGGGATTTCAGTGAAGACTAATTGGGGCTAACAAGAACTGGTCACTCATGTGCTTCTTGTTGTTTTTTTTCCCCTCTCTCACTGCAGTTAACCTGTTAGACTCTAAAGCAAGCCAAGGGGAGTTAGGATGGATTTCCTACCCATCCCATGGGGTGAGTATCTTTAAGTCCTTTATCAACTCAGTCATGCCTGAATTGCATGAAGACTTAAGCCATAACATTTATATTTTTGTCTCCACTGATCCTTAAATTGTACAACAGAGTAAAGTGCAAATAATCCCAGTTTTTTAGGCGTTTTTGTCTGTTCTTTATCTTTGCAGGACAGTGATGTGTGCCAGTTAGTTTAAATACTAAAAAGAAACTGTACTGAATTAATGTTCTCTTATTCATGTTTGTGCCTGTGTGTGTTTAAGGGCTAGAGGTTGTTGACTCTAAGGATTCAACATAAGGATAAAATAGTTATTTTATGAAAAAAACAAAACAAAACACAATGATATTATTAGTATTCATACAGAGTTAGAAATGTATTATTTAAATTCCAGTTAATCAATATGTTGAACATTATTTTAGTAGCATACTTTAAGCAAAACATTTCCCATTTTGGTATCTAAAGCTAATCCTCCTATTTAATATTTGTATTTGAGTGTAAAGATTAAACTGTTATATTAAAAGCAAAACGTTAAATAAAAAATATATCATTTGAAAACAAAAATTGGGTTCATGCTTTTTTACAATAAAAAAATAAATAAATACAGTTGTTAATGTGAATTGACAAAATAGAACTATACCTTCATCTACTCTTAAAGGAAAAAAAAAAAAAAAGGAAATTTTGCTTGGGATGCCTTTGCAAACTATAGTATACTGTCAAGTAAGGGAAAAAACAACAACAACAACAACAAAAAAACCAAACGTCTTGCTGAGAATGCTTTTTAGTTTTTATGAAACATCCAAAAAATACTAACCACATGTTATCTACATGCAGACTTAAAATCATGTGAGGTTTGAAAAACTTTTTAATACATATTGTCACCCCATAAACTATTTAAATGGTGGTTTACATTCACAAAACAAACAAACAATAAAATAAAACTTGTTTTACCTAACATATTACTCAATATACCATTGGAAAAATCTTGTAAAAAAGTTTTATTTTACCCCTTATGTTTTGCATATCATACTTTTGTGTATGTACAAGATTGAAAGAATTCAAAGAACAAAGCAGCGAAATAAAAAAGAAAACAGAGCCGCCATCACCTATGAGGCTGCCTTTCTCCATCAAAGCCCTCCAGTGGGTTCTTGTTCAGTGTTTATTTGTCTAACTAGTTAGACTCCTGCGCCTCTGGGCTGGCCTCCTGTCACCCACCACCCCCACTTCTCTTTTACTCTCTCGCACTCTCTCTCTGACACAGACTCACACACAAACTTTCCTCCTCTCTCCCACACACATACACAATTCTCTGTTTTTCCTTTATTAAGTGTTAGAATTACTCCTTGGCAGTGGCTTAAGGTAATCCCGTCATTTGTTCCATTGGACTGCCAAACCTAGTTTCCTTCGGTCGTATACAACATTGGCATGGTCGAAGCATGCCGAAGTTCTCTGGTGAGGAAGTGCTACAAAGAAAGAAAAATGAAAATAATGCGCAGAGAGGACTGCAAGAGCTTTAAAATCCATTTAGTCTAAAGACAATTGCAGACTACACAATTGCAACTGTGTAAGGAAATGACGGAAGAGATTGATGTTCTACTGGCTAAAGCTATTTGCGTGTAAGTGACTAGGAAAATGTGCATTGATATGGGTACTTGTTCCAGCTCTAGCCATTGGAATGTATGAGAGAGTTTATACAGTTTTCACAAAGATGTCTGTTTTATTTCAGATTTTCTTCTTTGAAGTAGTTTAGATTAGAAGTTTATGATTATCCAGTTTGTTACTGTGCTGCAGGGATGACAGCCAGTTTAATTCCAAATTGAGAACCTGCCCGAAAAGAAAGGGAAAGGACTGAGAGGAAGGTTGAAGAGATGAGGATAAAATGATAACTGGTGTTGTTAAAAAGGCTTAAAAAAATAAGATAAAGACGGAAAGACGGAGAAAGATACGGATGTTGATATGTTGCTGAGGTTAGAATATTCGAATTGGCCCTCTTTAAGAGGTTTGTATCTAGCCTCATCTTTTTTCCTTTAAACTCTAACCAACCTCAGTGTCTGTGTTAAATATAAACAGTTCCACATAATGATGTTGCAACTTCCATGTTGCACAGTAGATCTGTGGTGAAGGGGATGTACATTTTAGTTTTCCATGCCATATGGTGCTTGGTATGCAGGAGAATGCTCAATTGGGACCTTGTTTGGCTAAAGGACATTCGTCTTTACTGGGAATCCTTAAAAAGCATCATGCTTTCTCTCTTCTGACCTGAGAGTATCCAGTTTTCTCTGAAAGACACAATAAAAGGGACAGAAGTGAATCACAGAAAGATCAAAAAGAGGAGTATATACAATGAATGGAATGGTCGGAAAGTTGCAGGCAAAGCTGGAGGAGGGGGTGTCAATGTGTGTGGGGAGGAGGGGGGTTGCAGAGACACATACACAGATAAATATTGCTGTTGATCAGGTCCTCAAGGTGAATCATCTGTAATTACTCACGTCATCCACTGACTTCGCTCTGATAAGCAGCGTGCCCCTCGGAGGCCGCCGCTCACAAATGATTTCTCATAATGTGTGGCTGTAGCAGAGAGCCTTTTCTGCCTTCCTCCCTCACACACATCCAAACACACACAGATGCAAACTCATTCACACTGATGGAGATGCCTCAACTACTGGCCTACCGAGACGCAACGTGCTCTGGTCAGAACAAATTAAGAGCTTAGCCTCCCCAGGATGTTCACCCGGGAGCCACCGAATGGACTGATGGCTGTGCGTCTGTGAGTTTGAGTGTGTTTGATCCAGATATACTGTTATCTGTCTGGGAGGCAGGCTGATTGCTTTGCAGTGTCCGGGGGGCTTAACCCATCACTAAAGACTGTTAAAGATTACATTCTCGCATGCATTGAAAGCATTCTTCAGCAACAAACCAACACCCAAGACACCGGCTCTGCATGCAGAATAGAAATTAATGGGTACATACAAAGTGAAGTACAGTCTTCAAAGCAACGAGGGATACGACATTGATGTCTTTGCCAGAACTTGGCTTATTTTAGCAGTGTTGCAAATCTGCATTCATGTCTAATAATTAGTTTCAAACAGTTATATGTTTGTTTGATTGGTAATGAATAATTTCCATGCCGTCAAAGGCTGCTTTTACACATGCAGTGCACAAGCAAAATGTTTTTCACAAATGAGGAACTTCTCTACATAGGCCTTTGATATGTAAGTATAGGGAGTATTCTCCAGGATCATTTGAGTTGTTTTCCTGCATCAAATTACCAGTAAAATAGTAATCCACAAAACAAAATCTAGCATAAAACCTCCAAGATCTGGTTTAGTTTTTCACTTGTATTCTTTAGTTCCTACTTAATGAGTTACTGAACTTCACATAAAAATTTTAAAGTATTGAGAATGTATGCTACTGTTGCTCTTTGCGATACACATTCGAATTGGAACCTGTTTTGTAATTATATTGACCTGGATGATGGAGAATTTCCACAACGACCTCTGGCTCTTCCGTCTTGCATGTCATAACAAGTCATGAGTCATAACAAGTTTATAGCTTCAGTCCAGGTGTGAAAAGTTTTTATATCATCTTTAAATCAAAAAGGGTACAGTTAAATATTTTAAAATTGGATTTAGTGAAGAAATATCATTGTTTCAAACATAATAAAAGCTTGCTTAGTCTATATCAGGTTCTGCAGTAACACCAGCCAGATTGAGTATAGCTCTCATGAAACTAGAATTCTTTGATCATGTATTTGTAATGTAAAGTTGTTTTGAGTACAGAGCTTTTGGTGCATTTGTTTTTATGTGAACAAACAGCATCTTGAGCACACCACACCCTGTTGTGAACAAGGTTTAAACTAGATTAGAAAATAAAATAAAATAAAATAGAGCATTATTGAAAAGAAGCAGATTTTAAAACCTGTGAGCAGCCAATGAACAGTGGCAAGAAGAAAAGCAACGATGGAAGAAAGAGAAGGTGTACAACTGCTGGTCAGGGCTAAAGGGAACAGATGCAGTTTGATACAGATACAGTAAATTGACTTGCAAGAGTGGCAACATATCTTAAAAGTAGTTAAAGGTACAGTGGAGGATTTTAGTGAATTTTTGAAAAGACCTGCCTTCTCACTTAAAAAAATATGCATGCATAACCTTGTACCTGCTCCCGAGAGGGAACGCCTATTAGAGTGGTGCGAGGGCATGGACAAGGCCAGTTCCCCTCATGTACGCTCTGTTTAAAAGTTGCTCATACAAGCTTACTTTCCAAAAGAAGATTTTGAATTTTTCAATTATTACGGTTATAAAGGTACCTGGGAATGAGCATGAAAGATGGCTTTACATAAACATATCAGAATGATTGAAATTAGGAGGATGACATATTTTGATACCCCACCCAGAAAAAGAACATCCTCCATTATACCTTTAACTGCCACTGATATGACTAATAAGAAATGTTGCCCTCTTTATTTTATCTTCTTTTTCTTAGCAAGGTTTCCATTTAATCAGGACACAATATATTTGTAAATCAAATTATTTCAGTTTAATTCAGTTAAATGTTGTAGCGGAAACTCCTAACCAGTGTTGTTTTGATGCACTTTAAGAAACAAGTGATTTGACTTATATGTAGTCAATCCAATTAAATCATATACGTAAATACATTGGAACTGAAGAAAGAGGCAGCTAAACGTAAAAATTCTGCAAGATCAGTGAGAACTGGACGGCATAAATAAGTAGGATGGGGTGGGGAAAGAAAAAGCAAACCAAAAGATTGAATGAGAGAAAATTATGAACAGCTTGTGCATAGCGAATGTAGAGCTGCTAAAGGAGGAGATGATAGGAGCTGTACAAAGAAACTATTCATCTTTTGGAAAACTCTTTAAGAGATCTAACAGAGATAAACCTGGAGTACACACAGAACAGAATATAAGAGAGAAAGACTAAAACCAAATCCTGATAAAAGGTGAGACTTTATGGA